TTTGGCCACATTCAAAAAGAGATATATACACCCATTTGGAAAACAATAATTTATATTCTCTTCCAACGACTATCTTAATATAAATACTACCTCCGGTCCTTGATATAATATAAGAGCTAGTTGACTAATTTGAGTAAATTAAGAAAATTAGTTAAATTAACTATTTGTACTAAATATGTATTGTCTTTCCTAAAATACCTTCGTTAATAGAGTCTATTGGTTAGAACTATTATTATTACAAGGGGTGTCTTGAAAAACATGAACAAATATGAGAGACAAAGTAGATTAGGGTTTTATATTTAAGACCAAAATAAAAGTCAAAAGAGCTCTTATATTAAGGACTGGAAGTAGTACATAATAATTGACTTTTAATTTGTAAGTGTTCAATGAACTTGAATAAGAGGCCCTCCATGCTTTTATATGATATAGACTCAATTATTTCTTACAAAGTAATAAATTCACAAAAGTCAATATGTGCGTGTATATATATCTTAGCTAAACATGTAATATATAATTCATCATAGATGCCGTAAATGAATGCTTAATTGTCTCCCGGCCATAATACATTATACATCCAAACAGTTACTTATCATTTTCTTGGCCAACCGTCATTTTCTGAATTGTTTGCTATTATTTACCCCAAATTTAAAACATTTTAATAACTATTTTTGCCACTTGATGACTTTGAAACCGAAAGAGAATCTGTGTCTGTAATTTATTTTTCTCGTAATTTGATTGACTTTTTTATATTTTATTTGATACAATTATATTTTATGTTTATTATTACATTAGAGGTTTGGATATAAATATTGTTAATTAGGTCCAAATAGTAAGACAATAGCAATGGAGGTTTAGATCTAAATATTGTTGGTCAAATTGTTGAAGTAATTTTAGCATATTTATAAATTTTTCTTAATTTTATTTAATAGAAAATACTAGTCACTTATATATATACTACCTCGGGTCCTAATTATAAGAGCCATTTGACTAATTTGAGGAGATTAAGAAAGTAAGTTGAATTAGTTATTTGTCCTAAATAGGTGTTGTTTTTCCTAAAATATCCTTACTAATCAAGTGTATTGATTAAAACTATCATTATTAAAAGGGCTACTTTAAAACAAAAATGTATAAATATAAGAGACAAAGTGGATTGGAGTCTTATATTTAGAATCAAAATAAAAGTCAAACATGATCTTATATTATGGACCGGAGGTAGTATATTGATTTGATCAAAGGTTTTTCCTTTTGAAGCTTAAAGCGTAAAGGGTTTTTGCTTCTCCCAAAAAGTGATACTAGTTACTTATATTGAAATCAACCACAATTGAGTAACTTAAATCAACCATAATTTAAAAATTTTGAACCAACTGGAGTTGAATATAACGGAAGTGGCTAATCTACAAGATGAATCAAGATTAAAATCTTAACTGAGAGAGACATCCACATTAGATACATGAGCTTAAATAAAACAATTGAAAACATTTATTTAAATTCATTTGTATAATAAATTTTTAAATTCATATTTAAAAAGAAATTCTCTCAGACATGTGAATAATAAAATGCTTAAAGAAGTAGGATTACATATAATGAGAGATAAATTAGTTAATGCAACGTGCAAATGTGCAAATGTACTATTTTAAATCTCCTACGAATATTCTTGTGTTTGAATAAGTTGGATTAAAGTATATAGGTTTCCTAAATAAAGAAATTTCTAATTAAGACAAATTAGAAGGAAAGTTAGCGGGGATTCTCTTCTTGAATAAATTGCAAATACATGAAGTTTGTATACTTCTTTCATTCAGAAAAAAATCAACGCATTTTTTATTTAAAGAAATGTCTAAAGCAGGAAAAAAAACAAGTCACAAGCAGAACTGCATTGTCACGGGGATGCGTGTCCCATAAATAAAACAACGTTAGAACGGTTTGCCTTAACAAATAGTAATAATTAATATATATAATGATGGTGTGAGTCAGCATCACCATGTGATAATTTAGCATTTGATTAGGGAGTAGATATGCGCAAAATAAAGGAGGAGACAATTAATTACGATATGGTAGTAGCTTAATTTTCGCACCCACTAATTGACTCTGTGTCCATATAACAGCATACTTTTCTCATCTTAAATATAAGAATTAGTATATAAATATAGAGTATATTTTTATCTTAAATATAATATCTTAATTAAAAATTTATAATATTTTTTTCTTAAACTCTCTGGGTTAATTGCAAATATTAAGAAACTTTTATATTAAGGGACTAATTTCTACTATAAATAATTCATAATAATCACATAATCCCTTCGTCTCTTTTCATAAGTAACCTTGGACTCCATTATGCAAATTAAAAAGTTAGCTAAAGATAATAAATAAGTAGAAATTGAAAGTTTTTTTTCCCAAAATATCCTTATTTGTGGAGAAGGAAGGGTATAAGAAAAGAATAAGAAAATTATTATAATAAAAAGAATTATGAAAGCAAGAGAATGCATAATGGAGAGAGATAATTATTTGAAAAATGAGATAATAAATATATTAAATATTAAAATAAGTAATTAATGGGGTAAGATAGAAAATTTGCTGCAAAATTTAAGACAACTTGCAAATGTTATTTATATCCAGGGACAGGAGAGAGATGATAGTTGTTGTTTATTAAAAAAGGACGGAGCGAGTATTAATTATGCATCTAACTATTATTATTAAAGGGAGAATGACCATGAGGTTCCAGGGAAAAAAATTAGGGAAAATTACGTACAAATCCCACAGAAGAGATTTTATTCATTTAAAGTCCCATAAAATGTCAAAATTACTGACAGGTCCCAAGGGATCTTAGAGTAATATATTCTATTTGTAAAATGACGTTACTATCCCTCACATTCCAAATTCATATTTGCTCTATCATTGCGATTTACAACCTCAACAGCAACTATAAACAACCCAATAAGAAGGTATTAACAATCTAAATAGTATCCGTTAACAAATCATTTTATAGGATCACATAACCTCCACATAAGAGTAAATTATAACCAAATAGCATAATACAACAACTTTAACACTAAAATGGGAAGCTTCTTGAAATCATTAAGAATTTTAACTAAACCCAATAGGATTATAGTAAAATTTTAATGCGGAGATCCATTGACAACCTCAACAGTGAGTATTAATAACCTAAGGAGAACTGTTAACAACCTTAGCAGTGTCTGTTGACAACTGTCTTTATAGGATAATATAACCTCTAACTATAACTAACTAAATTATAATTAAATAGTATTAAAGTTAATCTTATATAGTTGTTAGAGGTTATTTTCTATAAAATCAGTTGTTAACAGACAATGCTAAGGTGTGAATAGTTCTCCTTATGTTATTAATACTTACCGTTGAGATTGTCAATGGATCCCTGCATTAAAATTTTGTTATCATCCTAGTCGATTTTGGTTAAAGTTCTTAATGGCTTCGAAAATCTTCCCATTTAATGTTAAAGTTGTTGTATTATACTATTTGTTATAATTTACTTTTATGTGAAGGTATGTGATTTTATAAAGTAAGTTTGTTAACGGATACTGCTTAGGTTGTTAACACGTTCTCATTGAGTTATTAATAGTCGCTTCTAAGGTTGTAAATCGTAATGACAGGGCAAATGTAAATTTGGAATGTGAGGGGTAGTAATGTCATTTTACAAATAGAATATATTACTCTAAGTTCCCTTGGGACTGTCAGTAATTTTGACATTTCGTGGGACCTTAGAGGAATAAAATCTCTTCTATGGGACCTGTATGTAATTTTTCCAAAAAATTACTTCTCTTCTATTTATAAGTTACTTCCAACATATTTTACACAGATCAAGAAAAACCTTAAATTTTATTAACACTCATTTAAAATTCAACAACTTTTCAATTTTATATCTATTTAATATATATTATATCTCATATAAACAAAGTTAATATAATAATAAATGAAGAGTGAAATTATACATTTATATAAAAAATTTCTTTTAGTGTCCTATAAATAGGACCAAAAAATATTTTTCTTTCTACCTTATAAATAGGACCAAGGAGTAATTATCAATAGTTATTAATGAATTTTAGGATAATTAAATTCTTGTAATTTGATTGTAATTGTTTCATTATTAAACGTGGATGTTATTCAGTCCAAAAAAAAAAACGTGGATGTTATGCCCCAGTGGCATGTATGCACGACTAGACGCAACTTAAATGCATGCATAATAAATAGTAGTACTATACTTCTTCTGATTATAATTATTGAATAAAGCCCACTGATTTCATAATTTTCAAGGAGTGATAGTTGGTATCTTTAAATTTATAAAAAACAATGCGTGACTTACTAATTTTACCCTTTATTGAAATATATAATCAAAATAAAGTGTTGTCTAAGATTTAGGGATAAATAGTGCCTTAAAGTTTAAACTTCGTTCCATAACAAGGACTAGAGAGAATATATTACTCTTCCAGTTCTAAATATAAAACCCTTATACACACTAGTATAATAGTTTTATATTTAGAGTAGGAGGAGTATAATCTTTCAAATATTTTTTTGAGGTTTTTTAATATTTAAAAGTAATATTTAATTCAAACATGAAGAAAATGAACATTGCTTTGTTTTTTTCTAAAGTTAGGCTCCAAGAAATTGAACATGAAGGCATTTTCTTATAAAATTAGCAAAAAGAAGAGAATGAATTCTTTTATTTTATTCAGACAAATAATTATCATTTAAATAGAAGTTTGATCATTGAGATAAACTCTACCGTCTAAATTTTATTAGTTTTTTATTTTTAAAGGGATTAACGTGGGTCCTATATGCATTATACAAAATGCATCATCTAAAATACTTATGTTATGCAATATACATACATAAGAAAAAAAATAAAATAAGGAATGTACATAATCGAAGATAAAACCGAACAGTAAACAACTATACACATAGTCAAGGTTTAAAAAAAAAAAACGCTATATATTATGCATGTTTGGTGTATATATCTCCCCCCCCCCCCCCCAAAATAGTGCCTTGGTATACAGTGGGAGGAGAAGAACCATGGCATCCTCTTGGCCAGCAAACCTGATAGTCTGTGATCCATCTTCATTGAGTGTCCAAGAGCTCGTGAAGAACCCTCTTCCCTCTCTTCCTCAACGCTACATTCGCGAAGATCATTATCAGTTCTCTGAAACTGAAATCCTTACTGATGCAGCCCCAATACCCATTCTTGACATGAACCTCTTGCTCTCTGGGGAACACACAGAGGCTGAGCTCCAGAAATTGCACTCATCTTGTACAGACTGGGGCATCTTTCAGGTTAGAATCCGCCTTCTGCTCTTTTTCTTGTTTCATCCCAACCTGGTAATTCTCTTACAGAGTGGAAAGGAGCACGATGACTAGCTACTCTTTTTAGTTCGTGTTTCTTGTTTTCATTATGTTCTATGTGAGCAGGTGGTGAACCATGGAGTCAGTGAGGAGGAGCTAGAGAAGCTCAGAACTGAGATTGAAGAATTCTTCAGGCTGCCACTGCAAGAGAAGATGAAGTATAAGATAAGGCCAGGTGATGTTGAAGGATATGGAACTGTAATTAGATCACAAGATCAGAAACAAGATTGGTGTGATAGGTTCTATATGACTATCAACCCCATTCACCAACGAAAGCCATATCTCTTCCCAGAGCTCCCTTCATCCCTCAGGTTCTCTCTCTCTCTCTCACAGCAAATATTCAAATGTTTAATTCGCCCCAAATTAACTCTCAATCTTAAATATATCAAGAAGTATTTAAGAAGTCAACGTTAGAAGTAGACCAACCCACAGCAGTATACCAAACCAGCCTGTGATTCTGATTACTGTATCTTACTTACCATGTGCAGGACTATCTTGGATTTATACATACAGAAAGTGCAAAATCTAGGAATGACAGTGGTGGGTTTGCTGGAGAAGGCTCTGAAAATGGAGGGGAGAGAGATGAGAGAGGTGTTTGAGGATGGGATGCAATCACTGAGAATGACATACTATCCTCCATGCCCAAAACCAGAGCTGGTTATGGGGTTTGGTGCTCATTCAGATGCCACGGTAATCACTATCCTGAACCAGATCAATGGAGTGAGTGGCCTTCAGGTTAAGAAAAATGGCGTCTGGCTTCCTGTGAACATCCTCCCTAATGCCCTTGTTGTCAACGCTGGAGACATTCTAGAGGTTAACTTCTCATTATCATCTTGTTTATTTTTCCATATGCTCAAATTTATGCATGCTAAGTGTAATTAAGATGTCTACATGTGGTTTTGCAGATTATGAGCAATGGCGTGTACAGAAGTGCGGAGCACAGGGCAACAGTGAATTCAAACAAGGAAAGAATCTCCCTGGCTTTGTTCTTCCTCGCCAAACTTGACTCTGAAATTGGACCTGCGAAGAGTCTGATGAGCCCAGAGAATCCTCCACTGTTCAAAAGTATTGGGATGGAAAAATTTGTGCATGATTTCTTCTCTCGCAAGCAACAAGGGAAGTCATTCTTAGAGCACCTGAGGATTAAAAAAGAACATGCCACCAGCACCGTCTAATTAATCATATACTGTTAATTATTATAGCATAATGTGTGATTCTCTGTATATCTATCATCTTGAATAAAAGTGGCATGTGATATAAAGCGTATGTATTAGAGTCCTGTTTATGTAGTCCATCATGCAGGTCCTATGTTGTGAATAAAATGTGTTGTTATATATGCTGTATTCCTGAATAGTTTAAAATAAAATTGCATGTGATTATTTGTATTATCATACAAAAAAAATTCAAGAGAGCTGGAGAGAGAGATGATATCATATATTCCACGTGGCTGTCCCTGGGAACATGGCTTTCCAACCTTGACTGGTAAAGACCTACCCTATAAGATTATTCCACCTTTGACTTTTGAAGGTGAGACTAAGGAAGGTATATCACTTGTATGCAAATCTCCTAATGGCGGTTTCTAGGTTGGTTACGTAATATCTGCATGGGGAGACAGATACTTGCGGATTTTTAATATAGAAATAAACTTCGTATGAATTCTGAAATTTCAAGGAATGTCTCCTAAATACTCTACAAAACAGAGACGACTTTTAAATACTTCCACATAACCATGCTAACTCAAAATCAAGAACCAGGAGTGTTTTGATCGAATTGAAATACCGAAAGGCAAAAAAGTGACCAATCGTGCTTCAAAATTAACATTTTCTTCCTTCTTTTCCGTTTCTTATTTGAGAAGAATATGCCGATATGGAAATAGAGATGATTACTTCAGTTATAAACGAGTAAATCTGGTGCAACCTCACGTGTAATCCTGCGTTCCTTTGAATAATTCTCAATCCATTAGTTCTCTCTGACAGCTATAAAACCTGCGTCGATCACATACCTCTGCCTCTAATGGAGTCTTTGTAGCAGGGTATCAAATACTCAAAGGTGCTGAAACTGTTAGCTCAATGCATCTCTTTGCCAGCTATTTCCTTCTGTACTTTACCTTGTGAAGCTATCAGCCAACTTTGCAATTTAAGACTATATAAAGGCCATTAGATCAAGAGAAAAAGATGCCAAAGTGAATATGGAAATATTTGAAATGAGAGTTTCAGCTTTGTTTCTGTTCTGTTTCATTGCGAGTATGTGTTCAGCCGTTGAAGCTGGTAATTTCTACGATGGTACAGACATCACTTGGGGTGACCATCGGGCAAAGACACTTGAAGGAGGAAAGCTTTTGACACTCTCTCTTGATGAGGCTTCTGGCTCTGGATTCCAATCCAAGAGAGAATATCTGTTTGGAAGATTTGACATGAAGATTAAACTTGTCTCTGGCAACTCAGCTGGCACTGTTACAGCATACTATGTAAGCGCAAGAAAAAAACATCTTTTGTCTGTGTTCGGGTATTTTCAGTGTCTTTTTGTAGACTGAGCCATTGAGGTTGTTTCTTTGTTCATTTTTGGGTTCAGTTATCTTCAGAAGGGCCAAACCATGGCGAGGTAGATTTTGAGTTCCTGGGAAACGTCAGCGGACAGCCATACATAGTTCATACCAATGTTTACACACAGGGCGGAGGTTCAAGAGAGCAACAGTTTTATCTTTGGTTTGATCCAACCAAGAAATTTCACACCTATTCCATAGTATGGAACCCCCAAAACATCATGTAAGAATCATTAAACATACACCTCTCTGTTTCCAATGTATACATTTTGAACCTTTTTATTACCAAATAAACTTATGTAGACTTCGAACATGCTCGGTTTACAGTTTGCAAAACGATCTTTCGCTTGCCAAAGTAAACGGACTTTTGCCTGAGTCGGAATAGCAACAATTATTTTTTCTTTTGGGGAAACAAATATCGAAATTCAGTCACTAGTCAAGAAGTAATCCTTTTTAGTTAGGCATTTAAACAACAAAATCAAATAAAAACGACACAATTTTCCCAGTAATTTACTTGGCTGAATGTGTTATTGTTATATTTTCAATTCTGTGGGCACTGGGCAGCTTCTTAGTGGATGGCGTCCCTATTAGAGTGTTCAACAACTATGAAGCCAAAGGTGTTCCCTTCCCCAACAGACAGCCAATGAAGCTATACTCCAGTCTATGGAGTGCAGACCAGTGGGCAACCAGAGGAGGCCTCGACAAAACTAACTGGACCTGTGCTCCTTTCACTGCCTCCTTCAGGGACTTAAGTGTTAAGCCATGCTCGAAGCCTAATGACTCATCTTCCTGTGTCTCCACTAACAATAATAATAATGCTAAGCAGCTTCAAAGTCTAAATGCTTACGGCAGAAAATTACTCAGATGGGTACAGAGGTATCACATGGTTTATAACTATTGCAAAGATCTCAAGAGGTTTCCTCAAGGTCGACCCCTTGAGTGCAAGCTTCCCAGATTCTAGGCTCCTTCACGAACAATCAACAATGTAATGCACTTGTGCTCCGATATCTAGTTTGTTCATGTTGTGGCTATTCATGTCTGCTTAATAAACCGACTTTCAGTTTGATGTTTATAAACAATTCCCACATGTAAAGATGATCCATGTTGATGCACAAAGACAATGGGTGTTTGGAAGCAAGTCAATTCAGAACTCTGCTATTGATTCAAACTCATCAGGATAAGCATTTCATATGAAGTCAATCTAATAGACCTGAGATTAAGTAGAGTATTAATCATTGCCAAGATGGAAAGCTAAGGAAGTTCTACCACTATCTTAGTTGATTCTGTATTTGGATTGAATAAACAAAACAAACTCAATGCATATATAGCAGAAGAGTGAAAGGATCACTATCGAGCTTCTGGATGTACAACAAATGATTGATCCAGACTAGATTAAACATATTGATTAAATGATTTACAGGAAAAAATTTTCAATATTAGACATATTGATTAAACTTCGCGGACCAAATGGCTTCATTCCCAATCCCAACCTTGAGTGGATCAATCCATAACTCCAAGCACCTCAAGTGACACGTCTTTCTTGAATTGTGCCAGAGATCATAATACTTGCAGCAACGCCATTATGTTTGCCAAACCTAATACATGAAAAGATTTGCCAAAGGTCAACAAATTTTAAGAAACAAGGCAACAAACGAGCATATCAGGGCAGTAAAGTCATGCAAACCGACTTCATTGCTGCTGTAGAGTCATACTGAACAAAAATAGAACACAGAAAACACATCCTAACGAGAAGCTTTACATCCATTAGAAAGTTACCAAGCATCGATGATCTAGTTAGCAACTAGAGCTTAATAATCCATTGATTAACTTTAATTCAACACAGGATACATGTTTATCAAGCACGAACCGCACAAGTATGTCTGAATAATGCATAACAATGGAAGCAACAGAATCACTTGATGGCATTCTCTTAGTAATGTGCGTCTATTAGAGTGCTTTTGTGATTTTATAGCTCTTTTCACTCAATAAAATGTTAACATCTTACACGAAATGCATCATCATCTATAAATGCCATTCCTGGCCTCTAGAGGAAGGTGAGGGATAGTGAGACATAGTGACAAACACACTTTAAACAGACCAGTGAACTCAAGTTTTTTATGACAAACAATATTTCAGGCTTCAATAAGCATGTGGTTTGACCTTTCATTCACTTAAATAGCTATAGCATTTCAGAAATTCCTAGAAATTAGAGGAGAAAGCCGTAATGCATTATTATTATGCTAGACAAGATATTATGCATGCAAAAATACTTCTTAATGGTGATATTGGCAATACTATGTTACAATAACATTAAATTTAGGTAAAGAGCACTACATTTGCAGGGGTCAAATTGGGAAGGATTGGCTTGCTCAGGTTTTGTTCATAGTTCTTTAAACAGCATGCAAACTTTACAAGGCAATCATTGGATGAAAAATAAAAGAGGCAAAATTGGAATGGTTGGCCTTGATTCTAACAGTAACTATACACCACCCTGCAGATAAACGAAAAACAAAATGAAAGGGGAAAGAGTAATGGCAACATGATACAAACTATAGTGGGCAGCAAGTAATTCTTTACAAACAGAGTCCTCAAACAATTGGCCAAAAGAATCTCTTCATGCAAGAAGAATGCAAATGAGAAGGGAACACAAGTAGTCATAGCAGAGGCAATTAGTGCTCAAATCGGCATAGTGGTATCAAAATCTAATAAATCAATTGGTCAACAGCCACACTGAGACCGACAACTTGCTATAAGCATTATATAAGAAACGGAGCAAAAAACTTTTAAGATAGACAACAAGTGACAGGGCAGAACAGATCAACCAAAATAAAATAGAGATGTGAATAAAACTTCCTAGTTGAAATTATATAATGGTCCAATTCTCAGCAGCGAGAAACGGAGCAAACAAGTTATCTAGAAATCAATAAGAAAAAAAGAAACAAACAGGCAGACATTGTAAAAATAGTAACAGGTCGATGATGAAAAATCTACAACCCAATTCATAAGATAGACAACAAAGTCACAAACCAGATATGGGAAAAATAATGATAATAACGAGTCAACAAAATACAGTGATGGTACTAGTATTTTATCTCCAGCAAGAGACCTGGGTACCCGAATTTAAGGTAAAAGTCAGTCTGTGAGCACCCCTCAGGAAAATACTTAAGCACCACACACCACAGCATTATCCTTATGTTATTTTCCTTTTCACAATTAGTGATTTCAACAAAATAAGAACCAAAAAAATCTTACAAAGAGAATAGCACATAACCAAAAGACCTTATTTACAAAGAGAGATATGAATCCAGGACCTCTTTCTTTGACTCTGTAGTTACCACTAATTACATTATTGCCTCAACGATGTATTTGCTAATATTTGAGTATAAATTTGTACTAATAAACTGAAAGCTTGGGCACGAGAGCAGTTTCCCTTCTCACATCTTTCCCTGCTATTTTGGTACCCCAGCATGATGATTTAAACAAATTTAGTATGGTAAATTAATTTAACAAATACACAAAGCTAGCATGCAGACAAGACTTGTTTTAGAAGCACCTGAATTTGTTATATTACCCATCTGCCACAACATGACTAGAATGGAATTATATATTAAGCACTTTTACAGTAACCCCTAAACATGAATTTTTTTACAACCTTTTTCTTACATCAAAGAATATATCTTTCTGGATCTGGCTCCCTCCACAAGCCCATAAGTTCTGAAAGGATACTGTTTTTTAATGTTTCATTACATCCTTTAATAACATTACAGAACTACATTTGGGCCATATTAAACCAATAAAAGAAGTCAGGAAGGATTCTGTTGCACATAACATTCACCAGACATAAAGGCTGCAACTTATATTGCACAACCAGGGCATGACTGAAACAGTGGAATGCTTTGATACCCATTAATGTGCCACGAAGAGAGTCTGCCCATACCAAGGATCTAGCGTACTGGGTGGGGGAAGTACCACATGCTCTCCTTATGTCTTAATGATTGTTGCCCGTGAGGGACATGTCGATAGCTAAATATTGTTCTCTGCGCCTATCATTTACCAATGATTTCAATTGCATCAGATAGGGAATTCGTCATTTTGTCCCCTGAGCCACATATTCAAAATGCTCTGCTTGTGAAAAGTAGTCTTCAAAATCCCGAGAGATTCTTTTCTTGCAACATCAGCATGTTCACTTCACACACTAAAGCAACTCCCCCCCATTTCCCCAATTCATAGTAAAAGTAACGAGATTAAACATGTGTTTAAATCTATTATTAAAAAAATAAACGCTTGGACGCAAAAAAGAGCAGATTCAGACACAAAGTTGATAAAGAAGACATAGTCAATCATAAGCGAACAATCATATTAAACTCAGTCTAGAAATTAACTGGAGAACCACGTCAGAAATGCCGGTCAAAAACACAATGAGACACGTTCAAGGCAGCAAAAGACGAGAAACAACGAAACAGAAACAAATGAGATGCACGATAGAATTAAAAATGCCAAAGGGGAACTAATTTAACCAACAGAAGGGGAAAAACCCTACTGGACATAAACGAAGAGAATATTCCAAGCACTAGCTTACAACTAAATCCCTACAAATACCCAATATAAAAAAAATTGAAAGTCGGTGGACAAGTTGAGAAGAAAAGGATACCTTTTTAGAAGAAACCATATTTTAAGGAGGTGAATCAGCAACAGATGAAAAACACCGTGGGCAGGGTGGTGGGGTTGGGAAAGAGTTTCAGTGTACATCTACAAAAACCCTAAATTCGCATATAGAGGAAGAAGGGGTGAGAGAGAGAGAGAGAGAGAGAGAGAGCAGTTCCAACACGGAGTTGTAGTACAGAGACTGATTCGACAATTGGAGGAGGAGAGCAAGACGAGGCTTTAAGCCTTGTGCAGCAGCTAGAACACTACTTTTAGAGAGAGAGAGAGGAGGGAGGGCTAGGATTACACGAATCACGAGGGAAGCGAGGGGAATAGAGAGAGAGAAAGAGGGTTTGTTACAGATTTCGTATCCGAGGTAGTAATTTTACTTGGTTTGAAAATGAAAACCCGCCCTGTGCCTCCCAACCAGCGCCAACTTGTTTCTCCGTTTGTTTTGTTTGCCTCTGTCCCTGTCCCGGTTTTTGCTCTTCTATTTCAAAACACCCCCCTCCTCGCGCGTACTCTCTTCACTTGCTTCTTTTTTCCATTATTGTCCAGCCCAATGTTTATTTAAGGCCCAATAATCTTGTTGCTCGTCCAACTTGGTCCATCAGTTTTTGGGCTTGCCGTAGGCCCCCATTTTGGCCAGCTGAATTCCCAGATTGCACTTTCCAAGCAAAATTCTCATACTCGTTTCATGATAAGTGGCCGAAGTTCTTTTAATTTCTCCCTGTCCTTTTGTTTTTTGTTTTTTATAATTTTTAAAAAGAAAAGGAAAATCAGTTTAGTTACGTATCTTCAACTTTAGAATATAAATTTGCCTTACTATCTATCTCTAGTACTTAATATATAAATTAGTTCATGTGATAATTACATATATTAAGAGGCTTTTATCAAATTTAGTTCTGATGTATATAATTAATAAGAATATTTGAGAAAGATAATATTTAATTACTACCTCCGGTCCTTAATATAAGACTTTGTTTAACTTTTATTTTGGTTCTAAATATAAGATCCCAATCTACTTTGTCTCTCACATTTATACTTTTTTTTTCCAAGATTGTCCTTCTAATAATAGTAGTTCTAGCCAATATAGTTGATTAATAAAGATATTTTAGGAAAAACAACATCTATTTATTATAAATAAGTAACTTAAATTGTTTCTTTAATCTTCTCAAATTAGTCAACTAGGTCTTATAATTAGAACTGAAGATAGTATTACAAATAACTAACTTAACTGATTTTTTAAATATTCATAAATTAATTATATAGTTTTTATATGAAACACTAGCTAGAGGTATAGTAGCCACTACTCTTCTGATCCTAAATATGAGACCCTTATATAGGATGTAAGGAGTATTTATTTTCCTGATTTCCTCATATTCTCAACTTTTCTAGCGCAACTTTGCTGGGAGGGAGCAGTAACATCAGTACTAATCTGAAACTACATGCAAACAAGGAATTACGTCAAATTAAATTCTACTTCAACACTTCAGCAATTTTTTCTGTTGATTAAAAAATCAGTTAGCAGACTTGGGATTTGGGGATTAATAAATTGGGTTCTTGCCAAAAATAGTGGGTTTTGGGTTTAGGTAAGTTAAGAAGACTGATGCAGCAGAAGCTTCTGTTGATGAAATCTTACATATACCTAACTAATGAATGTATAGATTTTTTCTACATATTCAAGCATTAAATATATATATTTATGTATTTTAAAATTAAAAGACATTAAAAAGACAGATTGGGGATAAAAAAAAGTTAAGGAGTATGGTTTGTTGTTGAGTCGAGGGGAAGGAATTGAAAAATAAGTTTGATATTTCCCCCTCTTTATTGCCTCGTGTCAGTATTTCTGGTAAATAATTGATAAAATCAATGTACCTAACTGATTCTTCTCATCATTTTAACGCATACTCCCTTCTATTCTAAACGTAACAAAAGGCTAGCTTATTCAAGAAATTATATTTTAATCTTAAATATAGAATTTCATTTCATTTTATATACTACATCTTTCTTTCATGTAACACAATTAATTTTTATTTTTGTGCATTAAATTTTAATACTCACTAATTGGTAAGATTATTATTGAAGAAGCGTCATAAATATTCTTTCTGGTTTTTAATACAGGAGCTAGGTGAGAGGTTGGAGAAAATGCTAACTATATAAATTTTAATCTATTTTATTCCCATATTTATTATTTTTTTAGAACTAATTTACTTAACTTATAAATTGATATATAATTTAATGTTTGTACAAAAATATTTATTTTAAAGAAATTGGACCATGATTTGTTTAGCTTAGATGGCATTTAAGATCAGGAGTATTGATTGTTCTACCAAACAAACAAAAAGCATATAGAAGGACTTTAGTTATTTTTCTTGTTACATTCAGAAGAATTTTAGTTTTAAATATACATATTTAAAGAAAAAATAATCGATCTCTAGTATGTACCCAAATCAGATTGAGTTCGTAACAAAACCAAACTAGAAGGTTCTGTGCCATTCATCCCTTCTCTTCGCCACTGTTCTCTCATTTTACTGTTATCTTCTTTTTCCTACGTGACATGCATCATGCTCCGTTTCTTCTCTTCCCAATCACTGTTGCGTAACATGTCTCCCTAAGCTTAGCGAAATTCTTGTTTTCTTTTTCGTTGTTCGTTTCGCAAAAGTCGGTGGCTAAAAGCGGAAAAAGAAAGAGAAGTTTATTAACACAGAAAGTTTTGAATTAGTGGCCGAACGCAGCAGCCATGCCGGAAGGATCAACAACAGATTCATCGGGCAAGCAGAAGGTTCCCTTTCACAAGCTCTTTACCTTCGCGGACCGTCGCGACGTGATCTTGATGACCATCGGTACGATCTGTGCGGTGGCCAATGGGTTATCACAGCCTCTCATGACACTGATTTTTGGGAAGCTCATCAACACTTTTGGTTCGACTGATCAATCACGCATTGTGCATGAAGTTTCTAAGGTACATATGCATTCTACTAGATTGCTGTAATCAACATTGCTTTTCTATTTCTGGATTAATTTAACCCTCCCAGATAAGCACGTAGCTTCTAAGGTTTATGATGAAAAGCCAGTTTTACTTTGCTCCGTCACTTTTAGAGGGGAAAGGTTTTCTGTTACTAGACTCAAAGACTCAGAGTCTTTTGTTTTCTTTAATGATATGATTTCCCTTCTTGCATAATTACTACCATCTGGATTACAGATATTTTATGTGAAAAGAAAACTAACTGATGTCTGTTACTTTAGAACAGGTTGCATTACTTTTCGTATACCTGGCTATTGGTTCTGGCGTTGCTTCATGTCTCCGTAAGATTCCTCGTTCTTTTATTTCTGATGCGTTGATATTTCGCTAGTTGTTGCAAGTCATGGAAATTTGTTTATCTCATAAACGAAAGCATGCTGAGGACGATACGTAGGCATTGTTTAGCTTTCCACTTTGGGAATGAACAAGTGGCAGTCACTTTATAAACAAAATGCGTTTTGTTGAAATTACTCCCTCATCTTCAATTATATATTTACAAAGGTGAAATGATATACTACCTCCGTTCTTTAATATAAGAGCTCGTTTGACTTTTATTTTGGTCCTAAATATAAGATCTCAATTCACTTTGTCTCTCATATTTATTTATTTATTCCCAAAGTAATTCTTATAACAATGGTAGTTCTAGCCAATATACTTAATTAGCAAGGATTATTTAGGAAGGACAACACATATTTATTATAAATAACTAATTTAACTAGTTTTCTTAATATACTTAAATTAGTTAATTGGCTTTTATAGTAAGTATAGGAGGTTGTAATATATTTTGAGTAAGATGGATAAAAAGTCAATCCTAATGCAAAGATGGGAAGTAAACACCGCCTACATTTCCATTATTCCGTCTTATTCATATAATTTGTGCACAAATACATGAATAAATGTCTCCTCTTAATTAAAGTCAGTGCCACTTTTATAAAGATAACTACGGCATTCTGAGAGTCATTTTGTTACATGTGCCTCAGAGGTAGCTAGTTGGATGGTGACAGGAGAAAGACAAGCCGCAAGGATCCGTGGATTGTACTTGAAAACAATATTAAGACAGGACATTGCCTTCTTCGACACTGAAACAACCACAGGGGAGGTCATTGGTAGGATGTCTGGTGATACCATTCTCATTCAAGATGCCATGGGAGAAAAGGTAAACCTAGCTCCTTTCTTTTCTTGTATGGAAAACACCATAATCCGTATCATTCCTTTCTCTAGATCGATTTTAAAATATGGATTAGTGGTTTGATTCAAATAAAACTCATAAAAAGGTAATTTACAACAGGTTGGGAAGTTTATGCAACTTGCTTCTACTTTTGTTGGTGGTTTTGTGGTTGCCTTTACAAGAGGATGGCTACTTGCTCTGGTTTTGCTTTCATGTGTTCCATTTGTTGTCATTGCTGGTGGGATCGCGTCAATGTTTGTGGCAAAAATGTCAAGTCGTGGACAACTTGCTTATGCAGAAGCAGGAAATGTGGTTGAACAAACTGTTGGAGCCATTAGAACAGTAAGCCAGAGAAAAGAAAAAAAAACTCGTTGAACTGTCTGAGATGTTTGAAAATGTTTTGGTGCTTGATTTGTTCGCGAAATTGAACAGGTTGCGTCTTTCACTGGGGAGAAGAAAGCAGTAGAAAAGTATAATAGCAAGTTGAAAGTTGCCTATAAAACAGTGGTTCAACAAGGGATGGCCACTGGACTAGGATTTGGAGTTGTTCTGTTCATAATCTTCAGCACCTATGGACTTGCAATGTGGTACGGAGCCAAACTGGTCCGTGAGAGGGGGTACAATGGAGGAGCTGTCATCACTATAATTATCGCGCTTATGACGGGTGGAATGTGAGACCATCTTTTGATTAATTTTAATCTTCTTTTGCATGGCCCTTCGGGTTGAAATACCCAAGCCGCTGAAGACTCCCCCCCCCCCCCAATAACTCGCACTCATTATAGTCATCGAGGGTTTAAATTCACAACATCACGTTTAAGAAAAATTTAAGAGAGGAGCTTAGTGCCATTGGGATATAAGGTCTTGACAGGCCATAAAAAGCTTGATATATGGTAAATTTTTTATTATATAAACAAAATTTGAATGAAATTATTTAGGTGCTCACCACAGGCTCTTCCTAAATCTGAATGAAGTTTACAGTAAATATTCAGTATGCTTTATGTATTGTACTCGTCAATCTTCTGTCATGCGACACAACCTTGGGTACATTTCTTACATCTCTGATATCTTGTTGAACTAGGGCATTGGGACAGACATCGCCAAGTCTTAATGCATTTGCAGCAGGTCAAGCTGCTGCATACAAGATGTTTGAGACTATTAAAAGAACACCCAAAATTGATGCTTATGACACTAATGGGGTTGTCTTGGAGGACATCAAGGGAGATATTGAACTTAAAGATGTTTACTTCAGATACCCTGCAAGGCCAGACGTACAGGTTTTTGCTGGATTCTCACTGTATATTCCAAGCGGCACGACTACTGCTTTAGTGGGTCAAAGTGGAAGCGGAAAGTCAACTGTAGTTAGTTTGTTAGAAAGATTCTATGACCCTGATGCTGGTGAAGTACTTATAGACGGTGTTAATTTGAGGGACTTTAAACTTCGATGGATAAGAGAAAAGATTGGGCTTGTTAGTCAGGAGCCGATGTTATTTACAGGCACCATCAAAGAAAATATAGCATATGGTAAGGATAATGCAACCGACGGGGAAATAATTACAGCAACAAAGCTTGCCAATGCTGCAAAATTTATTGACAAAATGCCAATGGTATATCAAATTCTCTAGTTTTATCTTTTAATGATAAATGCACAATCTTGGAATCTAGGAGCATAATCGTACTAATTAGTTGATATTTGTTTCATTCTGTTTGCAGGGCCTTGATACCATGGTAGGGGAGCATGGAACTCAACTTTCTGGGGGACAAAAGCAACGGATTGCCATTGCAAGGGCAATTTTGAAGAACCCTAAAATCCTTCTCCTTGATGAAGCAACAAGCGCACTAGATGCTGAGTCTGAACGCATTGTTCAAGATGCATTGGTAAATGTCATGTTAAACAGGACCACCGTGGTTGTCGCTCATCGTTTGACAACTATTAGAAATGCTGACGCCATAGCAGTGGTGTATCAAGGGAAAATAGTGGAAAAAGGTTATATTACCAATTCTTATGCATTTCGTTTGCATATGAATATAACACCGCTACTAATTTCATTGTTAAAATACTTGAACTCATAAATAACTATATGTCCACTTGTCTTTTTTCTTTTATTTGCAGGATCTCATGATGAGTTAATCCAGAATCCTGATGGTGCTTATTCTCAGCTTGTTCGTCTCCAAGAAGGCGCTGATGAAGCTGAAAGTGGAGAAAAATCTGAAACAGATAAGGCCACTACCGGTTATATAGACAAAAACATGTCTTCCTTTGAGAACCAAAAATCATCGCTGAGATCAATTAGCAGAGGGTCGTCAGGAAGGCTATCTTCTCACTCACTCAATCTTGCTATTTCTAATGGAACTAACATTTACCCTTCTGGAGAAGGAGGTGATGATCTTGGAAAAACCAAACCTGCTAATCTCGAGCGGCAAGAGGTTTCCATTATGCGTTTGGCCTATCTGAACAAACCTGAGACTCCCGTGTTATTGCTTGGATCTGTTGCTGCCGCAATACATGGCCTAGTTTTTCCTATATTTGGCCTCTTACTTTCATCAGCTATTAGAATGTTATATAAAACACCAGAGCAAATGAGGAAAGAATCCAAGTTTTGGGCGATTCTTTATGTGGTTTTGGGTTTGGTTTCTTTGGTTACTCTGCCATTACAAAATTACTTCTTTGGAGTTGCTGGTGGAAAATTAATAGAACGAATTCGTTCCTTGACATTTGAGAAGGTCGTGCACCAAGAAATCAGTTGGTTTGATGATCCTGCAAATTCAAGGTAAATTAACAACAAATTAAAGGAATTACTATGCCTTAATTTCTATCATTCATTAAATTCAAATGTGTGTCATCTTCTAGTGGCGCAGTTGGTGCAAGGTTATCTACAGATGCTTCAACAGTGAGAAGTCTTGTTGGTGACACCTTGGCCCTCATTGTGCAGAACATAGCAACAATAACAACAGGCCTCCTAATAGCATTTATAGCTAATTGGAGGCTATCGTTAGTGATTCTTGCTGTGTCACCTTTGATTCTCTTGCAAGGAGTATTTCAAATGAGGTTTCTGAAAGGGTTTAGTGCAGATGCTAAGGTTAGCCTTCTTACTTCCTATGTTGCCAATCAAATCTTAAGTATTTTATTTCGGAAATTTATTATTTTATTTTTCTGTTGTAGCTGATGTATGAAGAGGCCAGTCAGGTGGCAAATGATGCAGTTGGTAGCATTAGAACTGTTGCATCATTCTGTGCTGAGCCAAAGGTCATGGAAATGTATAGGAACAAATGTGAAGGGCCAGAAAAACAAGGCATTCGACTAGGTCTTGTTAGTGGTGCTGGTTATGGCTTCTCTTTCTTTGCTTTATACTGCGCAAATGCTCTGTGTTTCTACGTAGGATCCATCTTTGTAAAGCAAGGATTAGCAAATTTTGGACAGGTTTTCAAGGTACATCACTTATGGACTGTCTGTAAATATATATTTTCTGCTGCTTTTGGTATGATTCTTACAGTAGGTTACTTGTAGGTTTTCTTTGCTTTAACAATTACAGCAATTGGGGTTTCCCAGACCAGTGCCTTGGCACCAGACACCAATAAAGCCAAGGACTCCACAGCTTCAATATTTGAAATTCTGGACAGTAAACCCAACATTGACCCTAGTAGAGGCGAGGGCATGACATTAGGTTCTGTAAACGGTGATATTGAATTCAGAAATGTCAGCTTCAAATACCCTACAAGGCCTGATGTTCAGATTTTCAGAGATTTGATCCTAACCATACCTTCTGGCAAGGTATTCAACACGACTCTTAAGCTTTCAGATGAATAAATCACTTTCTTGATAAGCCTACAATGATTTAATTGCATTATTAATGCCTTTTTCCTAGACTGTTGCTTTGGTTGGAGAAAGCGGCAGTGGAAAATCTACAGTTATAAGTCTCCTACAGAGATTTTACGACCCTGATTCTGGACTCGTACTGTTAGATGGAATCGAAATCAAGAAGTTGAGGTTAAGCTGGTTGAGGCAGCAAATGGGTTTGGTCAGTCAAGAGCCAATTCTTTTCAATGAAACCATCCGTGAAAACATAGCTTATGGCAAAATAGGAGGAGCTAATGAAGAAGAGATAGTTGCAGCTGCTAAAGCAGCCAATGCATACGAGTTCATAAGCTCACTTCCAAGTGGTTTTGACACTTTAGTTGGGGAAAGAGGCACACAATTGTCAGGAGGCCAAAAGCAGAGGATTGCCATTGCAAGAGCCATATTGAAAAACCCAAAAATCCTATTGCTTGATGAGGCAACCAGTGCATTAGATGCGGAATCAGAGCGAGTGGTTCAAGAAGCTTTAGACAATGTCATGGTGAACAGAACCACTGTGGTGGTAGCCCATCGTCTCTCAACAATTAAAGGCGCTGATGTTATAGCAGTAGTGAAGAATGGAGTGATTGCTGAGAGGGGAAGTCATGAGGCCTTGATGAAGATTGAAGATGGGGTTTATGCTTCGTTGGTAGCTCTCCATATGAGTGCATCATAAGAGGAAAACGAAAGTCTAAATTGGTTGCCTGGTATACATTACGTTAGGTTTGAAAGATAATAAAGGATGGTGAGTGCTGTTAAATAATGGCAGGAAAGACTTAATACCCGTTCTTTATTTTTCGTTCCTTTTTGCTAAGCAAGTCATTAGGTTTTCTCTTTTATTTTTTAAAGAACTTTTGTAGTTCGTGAAAGTTGCAAGTGAATTTTCATGCGAGAAAGTACCATTGAATATTGACATGCCAAGAATATTCACACAGAGGAGCAATGTGGAGTTTAAAATGAAATGACTGTGCAGGGACATGCTACTGAAATTAAATTAGTTTATATGTTCTCAAATCGAAAATGCTTTTGCACCTTGGGAACTACTCTGGACGTCCCCGTCCATATGGCCCAATTATATTCTCCACTCGAAATTCTAGAAAAAACTATTGCCAAATATAGAATTTCGCGAGAAAAAGAGTAAAATATAATTATTTTAATTATTCTGGGCCTAAATATTTCTGATTGGCTTGACAAAGACTAATTGGACCTTCAAAAGTTTGAACTCACTGAATAATTGGGTTGGACACTTGGACCCATCAAAATTTTATGCCGAACACTAATATTAATACAAGTGTTAATGTGTTAACACAAAAAAGTAAATATTTCTAAACTGTAATCAGCTAATTATTTAGGATGAAATTTATCTATAGAAACTGAAATGTAAAATAAATTGAAGAGATTTCCTTCTATTTTTGTCTGAAGAATGAATTGAGAAATATTTCATACAATTTCTTTTTTTAGAAAACGAATTTGTCTCTTCCTTGTGGTGGTGCGGATAAAATAAAAACTAGGAAGTGGGAACCACATAAATCATGACAAGAATCCTGAGTTGGCGCGTTACAGCCCTCTCACTTTCTTCTTCTGCTACACCATAGCTTCTGGAAAATCAATAAACAATTAATCAAAACCAGAAAACACAAAAAAATAAAAAACAAACAAACTAACAAACAAACAAATATTCCCTCCGCCATTGCCTTCATCTCCTTCCTATCATCATTCTTTCCCATTCGGCCATTCCCCCTCTGGCGAGTATATTATGAAAGTATGAAACTTTAACGCAAACCCACTACGTCCTCTTCTCGCTCCATTTATTACTTCTCCAACGAGCGCGACGATGATAGGAATTGCATTCACTCATTGATACACTGGTGTGGCTCTTGCAATTCTCAGAAAGCATCTTTATGTGGATCCATGTCCTTTTGAAATATTAGCACAAAAATTCTCATTCTTAATCTTATTTTCTCCGACACGAAAAGTGAGAGAGATACTCAGGGTTCCAAGTATTGAGACGGAAGGGAAACACCCCACGATCTGCGGTGTCTCATTTTTCAGCTACAAACCCCAATCATGCCATCAGCTTCAAAGAGAAGAAAAGCTGCCAGGAAAAAGAAGGTAAAGGAGGCTAATATCAACCCCTCAAGTGACGGCCAACAAGGTACTTTACCCTCCATCCGATGTAGTGTTAGCCTTTATCAATGCATGCACAACTGGCAAGCAATCATGCATTCATGCTTTTCAATTATTGATTATTTGTGTTTTTTGCCTTTTTTTTAACTCGCCTGTTTGGTTAATTAGGTATTTGTGTATCTGTCATTTCTTCTGTTTTGCCATGTATATGCCCTGTTTACCACTTTAGCATTTACCCTTTAGCTAGCAGACACATATACCCTTGAACTTAATGATTGATTGTATTTTGGCAAATTGGTGTGCTAAGTATCTGTTAACGTGGCTGTTTTTCTTCATATTGGCCTGTTTGATTCGATTAAAATGTCAGGAAGTGATGATTTGAAGTCCCAAGATGAGCGAAGCGATGCTGGTGAGGTTAGTGATTTTGAGAGCGTTGGGTTGATTAAAACACAGGAGGATATACTGTCGTTAAAATCGACAGGGAGTTGAAATCTGAGGAGAGTTATGGTAGCAAACATGATAACATTGAGTACGCTGAGTCTGCTGGAGAATCAAATCACAGGAAGAAAATGCCAATGCTACTTCAAACCCCCGGGTCCCCATCTGAGAAGGACTCGGATTTTAAATCCTGTAATTCAATACTAGAGGCAACAACATCTGAGTATTTGGGTAAATCCTCTGAACCTGCACCAGCCCAAATGACTTTGATTACCGAAAATAGAACATACAAGGAGACCAATAAATCAGTTCAGGCAGAGAGTTTTGGGTCTGAGGAGAAAAGCGGTGATACTGAAAGTTCCGTGCTAGAGAAGGCAGCACTTGCTAAAGTAGGAGCAGCAGATCTTGTTATAAAAAGAAGTGATGATAAAGTATGTTCCTTCTCTGATGAGAATGCTCGAGTATCAAGTTTGGTGGAACCTAAACAGAAGGAATATGATAGTAAGTTACCAAATTGTTCATCATATGGTAGTCTTATCCCTGAATCTACTAATGCTATAGAACACACCAAAGATTCTGAGATTCCAGAATGTGCTGAAGATCAGGTATTACATTCGTGATTGCAATTTTAATTTGACCCTTGCAAATATTTTAAGGCAAGTTATACTCATACCTGTTTTTCTTTAATAAACTGATATGCAGCCCTTAGTAGCGTCCGGTCCCCCAGTGCAAAAGACCTCCTGGTTGAATTGCTGTGGTTTGTTTGAAGCGCTGGGCTCCAGCAGATAAAATCAGGTTGGAAGTCATCTTATAACTTAATTTTGAGCTTTTGTTGAACTCTCTGGTTGCCTTAAAAAAATCAGGTTGTTTATGTTTTGTGACCGCTTTAGGCTTTTAGAGAGAGGTTTGACTGATTTTATTAAACTCTAATTATTCCTAATTTGATTGTTAAAGTCATCTTACGTGGAATCTCTTATTTTGACTTTCCTGTATGTTGCTTTGTGGATGTAGCTGTTTGCTGTTGGATCAATAAATCTCACGGCGGCAGAAGCAGCTCGATAGTGTGAACATTAACTGTGCATTATGTAATAGTCTTAAATGAATAATTCATTTATTTCTTTGTTTCCATTCTCTATTTACTCCTTTCTTTTGACTTCTGAGCTTGTCTTTGTGATGCTTTCTGTAGTTCCCTTGTATAAATTAAAGAATGTGGACCTGATTCTCAATGCATACCTCTAATCTCTAATGATTTGGAAAATGAAGAATGTAACTTGTGAGATAAACCTGTCAAGATGTTAATGTCTACAATGAGAACAACTACGTCGTAAGTTTTTTCAGAATGTGTTGGTAAGATTGGATTCTTTTAATGAAATCTCAAATATATTGTAACATCAGAAGATTAGTTGATGTTTAATGCAGTTCTTTTAACTGAATGAGTTGCATGTATTACCCAGAAAAACAGGATTGATTTTGGAATGAATTGGTTCTGTCATTCTTCTTTCCATGCCCTTCGTGAAGTCATTTGCTTTCATCTCATGGATTGCATTTCTGTGAAATGAAACTGATGCCTGGAGTTTGGCATTCCTTTATGATTGTTTCTAATTGCTGAATGAAGATACCTATGGGTGTTGATCTCCGCTAGGCACGCCCATTACTTGATGTCCTTGTATATTTTTTTCCCTGTTTTTCTTTTTTTGATTTAACTCATCACAAAAGAAGCGGACGTTAGTTATTGAGTTTTCAGTCTCTCTCCATCCATTTAAAAGTCCAGGGCTAGCAGAGGATGATTACTTTTCAGCTTTCCCAGATAAATTAAACTGTTCAGCGTCTTTCTTACTTTTGAAACGGTTTTTTCGGCAAACGGGGGCCAGAGAGAAGTAGGTTGTGATATAAAATAATGGAAGACCAGTTTAGATCGTATCATTGTCACATTAGGGGAACCCCCCCCCCCCCAAAAAAAAAAAAGAAGCTTAGGTAGAGAGGCAGGGAGTAAGTATAGGTTACAATTCAGTTGAGAGAGCCTGTCAACTCTTTTTGGGTCTAGAACAAGCTCTTAACGATAGTATAAATAGCATACAGCAGTCTTTCTTATTACTTGAAATTGAGTTTTTTGCAATTTCCCCTTCTGCTCGCAGAAGAGACAGGTTCATGAGGATTTGGAGCAATTTTCGATCTTGACGGAAGACCCCCTGAAAAAATGAAAAGAGCTAATAAAGCATATAATATATACACTGAGTGGTTGAGTGGCAAATTTTTTGGCAGCAGTCAACTATATATATACTGAACTGAACTATTTTTGTTCATTTTCATGAAATTGCCTCGTTTTTTTTCAATTCCCCCAACTTCTTCATAATATTGAGCTGGTTCATCCGAGGATTTGGTTGAGGAGTTTTCATCAGAGTACATTTATCTTGAGTCGAAACAAAAATTTTTTTTTACATATTTATTTATATACTATAAATTACGATTGAAAGGTTTCAATAGCTAATTCTTGAAAGATCTGATTTCATATGGGTCTCATTTCCAGAAAAATATTCTTTACATAGATCCAATTTATAAATATGACTGAATTTAAAGTAAAATAATTATTAATAAACATATAAAGTAGAAACGCAAAAGAAAAAATTGCCCTATGTCGTTTTCATCATCAATTCAATCCATAAATTCGTCCAACTAATCCATTGAATTTATTTTCCCTCTGAGCTACGCTAATAGAGCTGCACAGAGAGGCTCAAGGGAGATAGGGTGCTTTTATCTCCAACACCCATCACCTCGTAAGTATCTAGATAATAGACGTAGACGGTTGGTTCTTATTAATTAATATTTTGATGATACTTATCTTACTAAATTTAAATAAAATTTACAAAAATAAGTAAATAAATAAATACTACCTCCAGTTATAAGACATTATTTATAGATTAGAAACGGGGTTTTATAATTAAGACTAGAGGTAGTAGTAGTAGACAAATATTTGGAAACAAAATCAATTTTAAAATAAATTGACTTAATTTAAATTTTGTACGTTCGTACCATAAAAATTTAAATTTTGTACATTCTTAACATAAAACCTAATTAACTAATACGAAAATATTAAGAAAACTAAATAGATTA